CTGAAGTTAAGGATGATTGATCTGTTATTGGTTGGTTGAAGATCCGTCCACGGATGTTGTTCTGAAGAAGAAATGGGTTGTAGAAGGTAATGAAAAACATATAATTCACTTTATTTTTATTTAGTTCACGTTGCAATTTCACACTGAAGTCTTGATTTGTATCCAAAAGGACGTTTTTATGCTCCAAACTTTCCTGATCTATATTTTTGATGTCTTCGTTACAAATAACAGTTTCAAGAAAGCCCTCCTGGTTCTGGCCTGCACAATTCAATGTGCAGTTGTCATATCCAAATTTGCAACCGCTCTGCAGGTAATTATTATCAATTTGTAATTCAGATGCTTTCAATTTTTGGTCATTCACCAAATTATTCTTAACTGGCATCTGATATCCTCTATTTTTTCTTACAATCAGTCTATCATTAGTATGCTTCGTAGCCCATTTACTATATAAAATCCCTATATTCTCCATGGCTTTATGACCGTTTTTGGGTATAAAAAATCGCTCATCATTCCGAAAACCGTGGACAACCACCACATTGATCATGTTATAGTGGTGCCAGCTCGTCTTCAAAATTTCTTCCACGTCTTCTGAAGACCCATCGACTAGGACGACCACGATTTTGGAGGTCTGATCAACTTCCGAAATGCTTTTTATCCGGAAAATTGATGTTTTGGCGTTGTCAGTGATTATGACGAACCCTTCTGAGATCTTGGACCTGACGAATGTTTTGAAGGGCGGAATTTTTTCATCCCTGGTGGAAAAAGAACAGGGATTAAGTGGGTTTGGCATTAGATGTGATTTTGCACTTACCACTTCAAAGTGAAATACTTTATTGGAATTGTTATGTTGCTCATACTGCATTTCAGAAGTTCCAAACCGAATTCGAAGGAGGTGTCTTTGATTCCCAATATTACGTTTGTACGTTTATTCTAAAAAAACAGAAAAAATTAAATTATACAAATTTGCACTAAATTAAATACTGAATGATGTTGTTTGGTATATTAAAATGCAACATCAACTCGGAATTCTGCAAAAATTGGGCACTTAGTCTGAACTTCATTCAAGTGCTCTACTTACCCATGCCATTTGTAAAACCTAAACCATTTTATTAATATGAACAATGTATTTGAGAAATTGCTTCTAATTAAAAAACATACAACTTTGTCTAACATTATAAGCTATACAACAACACTGTTAACTCTACGTTTAATTAAATACCTCGAAGAATTTCCACGTGAACTTCCAAAATGTCTCCACTGTGTTCGTACAGTATCCCACTTCTCGTACTGAGAAAATGGCGTCCGAAATCAAGATGGCGTCGAAACCGCTTTCGACAATCGATAACAAAATTAATAAAAACTTTGTGAAATGCATTCTAAAACACTTCTAGTTTACATATATACGTTTCAGTTTTACTCCGATTTGTTAAATTAAGCGACTCCGGAACGTTTTTAGGGATGATTTATTTTGAAATATAAATTATATATATATATGTGTGTGTGTGTATATGTGTATGTGTGTGTCTCTGTGTTTTCTTTATCTCGATGTGAAGGTTCCATAAGATTTTTTTGAAAAATAAGAATTTTACTTTTGTTTTTGTTTTGATGATTTTGAAGTTTGTGAATTGTATATAATAATATAAAGACATGTTGTACAATATAAAAATCAATCTTAATCTTTTATCATGTGTATTCATGCACGTACGTAACAATCGTTAACGTATATGTTACGTGCATGTGACACTTACAATTTGACAAGTGTCTATTTCTCACCCCCTTTGTGTCTAGCTGTATGTGACCCTCCTCTATCTTTGTGTGTGCATCTCTTTCTATCCTTTGTGTCTATATATGTCCCTCTCGCTCTCCCTCTGTGCTTCTTTCTCATTCCCTCTCTCTCTTCCCCGTCGAGTGTTTTGCTCAATTGAATAACGCTATATTATTATATGGTAGGTAATTGTAGAGAGGGCTTTTCCCTTAATTGCTTATTTGCTTTACCCGCGCCTCCCCTATCAATTCGAGTGATAAATTTCCCTTGTTTACATGTCTCACATTATATTTATATGATAATCATGTCATGTATATATATATACTAGGTGACCCGACAGACGTTGTCCTGTACCCACATCTACAATTCAAAAGTTTAAATTTTTTTAATATCCTATCCTATACTTTTTAATATCTTATTTAATGTCCTGCATTTGTGATTTATTTATGGTATTAGCATAAGCAGTATAAAAAATTCAGAAAAAAATAATATAGTATCAGCGGTAAAAGAACAATATCGCACAAAATTACCACACAACATAATTGCTTTAATAATTTAGTCTATAATTTTAATAATCTCGTACGATATAATAGTTGCTTTTTGGCAATTATGATTCCTAAAGTACATTTTTTTCACTGATAATTTAATAAACATTATTGCTTAAGTTCAAATCTTAGGAGAATTAATTTGTAAATTCTAGTTCATATATGCACTATTCAATCTAAAATCAACTTACTAAATATTCCATATCCAATGCCAGACAAATGAATTTTTGGCACATTAAACAAAATTCTAAATTATTTTTTTAATAAATAGAAATATTTGTTTGTATTGTTAAATTGTTTACTAAAATAAAACAAAATGTGACATGCATAAGTTTAAAAAAATAATGTATACTCAATTTTGGACTTATTGCGCTATTTATTAAACTGAATTATATAATTTCATCTGCCAACATATTTTGTTGACAGTATCTTACATATAATTTTAATTTCTGGCACATCTCAGCTTCTCTTTGGCAATAATAATGTAGACATTACATTTTTCATGTATATTATCTAGGCTCATAATTTCAGCTAAATACAAATTTCAAGTGAATTGTCACTTCTAGCAGATAATAGTTCAAATGTTTTCAATGTCAAACAATGATTAGTCTAAAAAGAATTATCAAAATCCGAATAACCGTTTAGGAGAAGTATCAAATCATACACCCGTACAGAAGAATTTTACATATAAGATATATTTGAATAGTCTTGAATTTGATGTCAATATAATGTTTTATTTGAGTTTAAAAATCAGGCATTACATAAAAAAGTAGTATGATAGTTTTGAGAATTTATTAAAAATCCATACGTTTCGGCTAACATCATAGCCTTCATTCTGTGGAAAAACTTGTCAATTACAATAATTAAACTAAGTAAATAATTTGTAACAGTTTAAGAAAAAATAATAAAAATCATAAATTAATCCAAATATACTTACAATTTGGTATCCTTAATTAATGAAACACTATTGTGTCTTCGTATTAAGATGTGCACTTTTGTAAAATCTATATATTTTGGCATCACAACAAAACACAAATAAACATGTATAATATTTATTAATTAATCGAGAGTGTGTAATATTTGAATATATAAATATATTTGTCTTAAAAGTTTGCACATGTGTTCGACAAATTGTGATAATGGCAATAACTATGGACATTTAGTTTTTTTTTTTTTAATTTTTACACGCTTTCCCAAAACCGGATTTAGTTGATTTTAATGATTAATAAAACATCCGATTTCTATTGATGGGGAGACATTAGTTTTCGGTAAGAGCAGGCCCAGTCGTTTTATATATACGGGGCAAAAATAGCCAATTTTTGAGGAAATTTGTTTCGTTCAGAGATGTCAAGTGGTTACTTTTATTTAGTACCTTGTCTCTTTGTAATTGGATAAACAATCCTTCAAAAAACCTAGAAATCTGCTGAACTAGTGTTTCTCGAAGTGTAGGATTTTAGGGTTAAAAAAATCTTTGTTATGGTTTAAATTGTTTCTATGGTCTGTAATCATTGTTTTAAATTGTTTTTGTGTTATATAGGCGTTTGCTCAGATTTTGGCTTATTTCGCCTATGTAAATAAGTTTGCAATCTGTACATTTTATTTGTTAAATTAAGCGACTGATTCTTCCGCATGATAGAGAAATGTTATGGCAAAGCCATGTTACGCTCTAACATCCATACATTATGGTACTGAATCATACTGAATAGTGTCAAAATATCATGTATTTACTGTGCATTCTGGCATTTTAAGCAGCGAAACTCGTATGTTATGAACCTGGGTCAGGAAGACCCCGTTATCTAAGATCGTTTTTTCACATTTGTGCGGTTTGTAGGTTATGTTTTCTATCTGATAACTTGAAAAGTTTGCATAGCAACCTTGTGGCGTTTGTCAATATTTAGGAAAGATGTTCATAACATGGCCTTGTCATAACATTTATCTGTTACGCGGCAGAATCGGTCCCTAAGTTTCTGAGGCGGTCTAAATTAAATTTGTTTAGACTTCAGCAAAAATGTAGTTATGGATGCGGCTTTGTACTTGTCTGAATGTCTTTGTATTTCATCGTTTATTGTGTTCATATCGGCGTCTTTATCTTCAACTAATTGGATAGTACTTAAGGGCTTTCTTACATTCTTTTGTATTTGTTTTGGCATCTTTGAATTTTTATCACGTTTGGTTTGGAAACTGATCTTCCATGGTTGTATACCGTAGGTCCAAATTGGCTTAATAATAGATTTGTACCAGTAAATGAAAAAGTATAATAGAGGGAAAAAACTATTTGTTCAAAATTAAATTTAAATAACAATCTTGAATCACTAATTGATCATTTTAATTGAGAATTTATTTTTGTAACTTCTAAAGCATTCGATCAATATAAATGATGTGTGAAACTAATATTTTGAAAATTTAATATTCTCCGACATTGTCATTTACCACAAATCCATTAAATCTTCTGTAGCTTGAAACCATTCGATTAATATTGATAAGGTAAGAGACAAATTTGGTCTAAATTAATTTATCTACAACATTGGGTAACAACATAAGACTCTAGAGCAACTCGGTATACCTTAAAACTCGGTCTAAGAAAAGATCACGTGGTAATTAAGCTGAAATATCCTTCACAGCATAACCTCAAAACAGAACTATCAAAAGGTGTAAATAAATAAAAAACACTTCAAATAGAGTCTTATATTAATATTTATTCATTTTTTCATTGCGTCTTCTTCATCACTCCATTACCAACTCCATAAGCCCTCTTGGCAGTCCCATTGGAAGCCCCCTTGGTCCCATTCATCAGCTTCATCTCTCTCAATTCCTTCGCACAACTAACGAAAGTCTCCGGCTTCTTCACAAGAATCCTTCTAATTACATAACCTAAAACTAAAACGGCCCCATAAGTCCTCCGAGCCACACCAGAAGCACGTCCCACATGAAGAGCACAAGGGGGCTCATGTCTCTGGCTTTGGATCTTAGATGGCGCGTTCCTTTATGTCGCATCGAGTACTCGCACCACCATACTGCTTCGTCCAAGGGGGCCATCGGGCGGTCGCGGAATCTTTTGGAGCGGAGGGTCATGTTGTCTTGGTAACTGGAAGGAAAAGATCAGGTAGTTGATTGTTGATGTGTTGGTATGAATGGTAAGGGGATATGTTCATAGTGAATGAATAGATAGTGAAATAAATATTTTGTTGTGCTGGTCGAAATGGTCTGACCAGCTCGTTAAAATTTGATATATTTTATCTAAAAAAAATATCTCTAGTTGATTATTCTCTGTTTTATTCAAAAAGCAAATTATATACTTTGGTAAGCCAGTGTTACTAACCCTTTGTTAGTAAGTATATAGGTATACGAGATTTTTGGTAATTTTGTATTCACCAGTGCTTACCAACTCTTAGCAATTAAGCACAACTAAAAAAGATAAAAAAAAAGTATGACAGTGTTACCAACCTTTGGTTATTCAACATACGTCCCAATTTATCTACAATTTCTTCTTCGGTGACAGATATGATGAGTATTTGTTCAGCAACGCCGGCGTCTACTGCTTTTTTAGCATTCTGAAATAAAAGAAAATGATAATTGAAATAAAATTTTGATCTGTATAAAGCCTAAATAAATAAACAAGTTTTTGCCAAGAAATCCTATTTGTTTTTTCGATGTTTCTGAAGAGATTGACACCAAAATTTGCCCAAAACCCTACTGCAGTTTCTTTGACGTGAAAACTTCATATTCATCTTATATATATATAAAAATATATATGTCGGGTTTTTCTTCCTAGATATATCTCCAGAACGCACGAACCGATTTTGACAATTTTGCATTCGTTGGAAAGGTCACGGCCCCGCAAGGTTTATATCTAAGAAAATTAGTGGTGCATTGCATCATGCCCTAATGCAAATTGCTGGAACTTCACGCATCGTAATTAAAAATTCGAGTAAAGACATTGGTGAGAATAATCAGAATTATGTCTGGTTAAGTCAACGAGCAATTCTTGCCGCAAACAATAGTTATGTACACGCACTGAATTTCACCATTCAATCGAAAATTGCGGGCGATTTGGTGACATACCAATGATTCCGACTGGTCCTCCGTTTGACTTTAAACGATTGCAATTTCCAGTTCGCCTTGCGTTCGCAATAACAATTTATCCCGCCAATCGCTTAGTATTTGCGGGATAAATTTCAAATAGATTGTTTATAAAATCATTGTTTTTCAAATGGGCAGTTATACATTGCCTGTTCACGAGTTGGAAAACCATCCGCTTTGTTTGTGTTAACGTTAGACCAAAAAACAAAAAATGTGGTTTACCAAAAAGCACTTCAATGAAACGGATAATTTGCGGATTCACTTTCATTTACTTAGAGAAGTTCAACTAAAAAACACTTCATTTTTGTAATCGAAATAAATTCATTACTGTTGTATAATAAAATCAAATTTTTCCTTCTCAAATATAAAACAAACAAATTTCTTCATCTTTCTCACGAAACCATCTGGTGGCGAAACGGAGTTCGTCGGGTTTGCTAGTTATTTTATAAATTTCTTTTTTTTCACCTTACCGTAAATTGATCAGCGAAAAAAGGAATCCCCAACAAGGGCACCCCGTGCCAAGTAGCCTCCTGTGTGCTCAAAAGACCACAATGGGACATAAACAGAACCGTTTTGGGATGACCTGGATGAAAAGAGAACCTCAGGTTAAATTATCTATAACAATTCAGTATTATTTTACCCAAAACGTCGTTCTGGGATGCCCATTTGGTGACCATAACGTTTTTGGAGACTTTCAAATCAGTTCTATCGATTTTCCATAAAAAGTGGTAGTCTGGGAATTTGGCCAGAGCTCTCACGAACATCTGGACTTTTTCTTCACCCATCATGTTGCTCCTCACGTTGGTTCCTAGACTGAAGTAGACTACTCCCTTTTTGGCGCCGTTGAAAAAGTTGTTGATGTTCTAAAGTAATCGATAATTGACATATTTAATAAATATGTCATTCCTAAACAATAAAAATGATATTTATCATAATGATACCCTCACCTCTGGTAGTTTCTTTGGTTCCTTAACCTGCAACCCCCCAACTTGGATAACATTAGGCAACAGCAACTCCGGCAAATCCATTCCTGAATGACTATTAACCAGCACCAGGTCAATCTCTCTCTCCAAATCTCCAATAAAGGGAAGATCTTGTCCAAAAACCTCTCTGGCCATTGGATCCAAAATGTTCATGGTCCTCCTTCTGTTCCTATAATCCATGAAGTAGTAGAAAAGATTCAGAGACCTCTGCCAGAAGGACATGTCTCCAGAGAAGTCCGTGGAGTAGTAGGGGATTAGGGATGGGACTTGGGGATTTCCGAGGATGTCGTAGGTGTTTGGGGGTGTCATGAAGGGGCTTATACCTGGTGAAAGAAATTTGATTGTTGTATTGGATTTTTGAAACTAGGTTGTGCTAAAATGAGCCACTGGTGTCAATTTTTCTTACCAATAATGGGTGGGTAATTAAATTTATGTGCAAAACCAAAATATCCGGCAAACCAGTATATTCAAAAAGAATCAGATCAAATTTGAAGTCACTCGGATAATCCATCAGCTGTTGGAAACCTTTGTTTTCGAAACGATTTTAAATAACATCACAAAATAGTTGGTCAGCATCTCCATTCCTCCCAAGACAGTTTTTGCTTGGAATTTCTCAGGGTCTACACTGAGGAACACCTTTTCGACCTCTTCGTAGACCCCTTCCATAAGGATGTAATTGAGGTTAGGTGTAGGTGGGTCGTCTACGTCTACACTGAGAGCTGTCACGTTGTAACCTGCCATGGCGAGGGATGACATTATCGAACGGTTCCTGGGGAAAGAATGAAGTTTTAATTGGATTATACTTTTTGCCTTTTTTATTGCAGCTGTTGGAAACCTTTGTTTTCGAAACGATTTTAAATAACATCACAAAATAGTTGGTCAGCATCTCCATTCCTCCAAGACAGACAGTTTTTGCTTGAATTTCTCAGGGTCTACACTGAGGAACACCTTTTCGACCTCTTCGTAGACCCCTTCCATAAGGATGTAATTGAGGTTAGTGTAGGTGGGTCGTCTACGTCTACACTGAGAGCTGTCACGTTGTAACCTGCCATGGCGAGGGATGACATTATCGAACGGTTCCTGGGGAAAGAAATGAAGTTTTAATTGGATTATACTTTTTGCCTTTTTTATTGATAAAATCGTATTATACTTCTCAAGACCTTTCAAACGATACCCCACATGCCATGAAAATTTTATGTAAATATTTTGAAGTAAAACTTCTTTAGATTCGTTTACTATAAGTGCAATAAAAGTATAAATGGTGATACTTATCACATTTTTATTGATAAAATCGTATTATAATTTTCAAGACCTTTCAAACGATACCCCACATGCCGTGAAAATATTATGTAAATATTTTAAAGAGAACTTCTTTAGACTCGTTTGCTATAAGTGCAATGAAAGTATAAATTTTTATACTTATCACATTTTATTGATCAAATCGTATCATACTTTTCAAGATTTTTCAAACGATACCCCACAAATTTTATGTAAATATTTTGAAGAGAAAGGGTATGGGCGCATTGCCATATAGAATCGGCCCCACCCTGGTATTTAAATAATTTATACGCCATTTTATAGGTCTAAATGATAAAAACCGATATACCAATTTTCAACTTTCTATCTCATCTTATGGCCGAGATATCATTGAAAATATGTGAAGTGGCCCCTTTTTTCAAACTCACTTTTAGACGTAACCATAAAAGATATCGAAAAAAAATTTACGTGGTTCTATTCATATTGGCTTAGGCCACATTATGTAGAACATCGATGCCAAATAAAAAATTATTATTAGCTGAAAAAGATAAAATAATTTTCAATTGATGTTTTCCGGTAGTGCGTTTAGTTGGACCACCTCTAATTAGCTTATTCGAAAGATTATTGTTTTTTTCTTTAGTACTGAAAATATTGTTCAAATCAATTTGGTGGAACACATTGGAAAATTGAAAAAAGCGGAGCTAATACACCCGCGCGTAACGCTAATATACCCTGCAATTGCATAGAGTTCGTTCGAACGCAAAGCTGTGCGCGATGCGCCCGAAACGATTTCTAAGAAATTTGAATGTGACAATATTTATTATATAGTTATATGTATTCATATGAAATAATGATATAATGAAACATTGTAATTTCAACAAACCCAAGAAACATTTCTTTTTTTGAATGATAATTGCAACATTGTAATTATAAAGCCTTATTGTGGCCTATCTTTATCAGTACTACTCAATACTACAATACAAAAAGAAATATGACAAATGGTAATCTGAAATTCTTTGCTTTTTGTTATTTAAAATTTTTCAAAAATTATTCGCCATTTGATGCGGAAACTTTCTATATAGTACTTCAGGAATTTACAAAAATTAATACTGAAAGTATTCTAATAATCATTTTCATAACATAAAACTTTTTAGTTAATTCATTTAAAAAATTACATTATTTTTATGTTTGTATTTTTTATGTGGCTTATTTAGTATAGTGACAATTTTTATGTGGTTTATTTATATAGTGACAATTTAATTTAATTTAATTTCAGTGTATATATAAAATATATTTTAGTGATTTAGTTGATTTAGTGATTTAGTTAGTTAAGATTTAGTTAACATAGTAGAACTAATAATGTCTAAAACTTGCAAAAACTGTGATAAATATTTATTCAAAATGCGTAATAGAACGAAAATCATTCTAACCGAGGATGATGAACAGTTGTATAGTAGTTCAATAGGAAAAATAATTAAAATTGGTGATGTTTTGTGTTCCACTTGTAGACTAATTCCTTATAGAGGAGAAGCAAGCACAGACAATATTAATGATTTATCGCATAGTAGTACTGAAAACAAATGTGTTAGTGATTCTTGCAGTGAATATGAATGTAATATACCTCAGAAAACTGATTTATCCGTGGATCTTTGTCTCAATCGAGTTGCATCGACGCATAGACATTGTTCTATTTGCAGTAATAAATCCGACCTAATTACAATTCCTCTAGAAGCCAGGATTCACGCATTTGTAAAAGTCAGAATATATATACCGCTTGGAAATCGTGCATGCAATAAGCATTTTTTTGGAAAAAATTTTTATGAAGAAGATATACGACAGTTACGTATTTATTCAAACACTAGTCTCGTCCCTCAGAAGGAAATATCAATATTTTTAAACGCTTTGGCAGATACAAGTGTTTCATTATTTAAGCAGATAGATAATTTATCTATATCGTCTGAGCAAATAAAAATATTAACAGGTTTTAATCTAGAAGTAATTGCAGAAATAAGTAAAATGCTTAGATCAATGAAAAATAGTAATAATCGAAACATATTCCAAGCATTAGTTATTTTTTTGTTCAAATTAAAGACGGGAAATTCTAATCAAGTCATCGCCGGCGTTTTTAATATTTCAAAGAGACAAGTCTCTCATTATTATAAACAAATTTTAATTGGATTCGAAAAAGATATATTGGATCAAAATTTTGGATTAGAGTCTTTTACCAGAACCCAATTAATATCGGAGACATCATACAACGCACAAAAAATTCTGGGATTAACCAATGAGCAACTGGCATTAATATGTGATGGTACATATATACGACACGAAAAGAGCACAAATAATGAATATCAAAGAAAGTCATTTTCTGGCCAAAAACGGGTACCACTATGCAAACCATTTACAATTTGTACAACAAATGGTTTCATAGTTGACTTTTTAGGCCCATACCTGGCAACACAAAATGACGCCACAATCATGAAAATTATATTAAAAGATGCGCATGGCATCAGAACTTTTTTGCAACCTGATGATATTCTATTGGTAGATCGCGGTTTTCGTGATGCTTTCAACAGATATAAAATCAGCAGGATATGTGCCTCTTATGCCATGCTGCAGGGGTAGAAGAAAACAACTCACAACAGAAGAGGCGAACGAATCCAGAAGAATTACAAAACTTCGATGGGTTATTGAAGCTGTACATGGTAATATTGCGCAAAGATATCGGCTTTTACACAACACACTAAATAATAAATTATTGCCTAAAGTCCGAACATTATGTAAAATTGTAGGGTTTTACAATATATATTTTACATAGCTGATGAAGTGATCAACTATATGAATCAACGGACTATACCCAACACCTTACATGATGAAGTTATTGAAAATCGATGGACCAGACGAGCAACAACACTTCAACTTCTTCAGCCAGATCAGTTATTAGATTTTCCACATTTGAATGAACGAGAACTTAAAATATTATTCACAGGGTCATACCAGTTATCACAAGCAATATCTTACCTGGCTGAAATGCTGTCTGACCAAAATCAGCCGAAGTTATATTACGTAAAAGAACATAGGAATATAATTAGAATTGATGTCCAATCACGGCATATAAATAGGAAAAAATATAATGTTTATATTGAATATACTCCGCTTGGCACCAACTATCGAAGTATTTTAAGGTATTGCTGTAGTTGTCCCAATGGATTGAGGACTGTTGGTTGCTGTTCACATATTGCGGCTATTATATATTATATGTCATTTGCGAGGTATTTATCACGTATTATACGTCCATCAGAAATACTATCGAAAATTTTTATAATAGAGGAAACTTCGGTTGCTATTAACCACGACAGTGATGACGATTAAAATAACAAAATATAATTTTAATTGATTGATTATTTATTTATTTAGCATACCGAAGTATTGTGTAAATCATATGATACACTTGTAAATATTAAAAGGACACTAATAAATTTTTATGTCTAATATTATAATTAAAATACTTTTATTAGTTTAATTAAATTACTCACAGTGATAAATAAATGAAATTGTATTTCAGATTCAGAAATGAAAGTTCAGAATTTCTTAGAAATCGTTTCGGGCGCATCGCGCACAGCTTTGCGTTCGAACGAACTCTATGCAATTGCAGGGTATATTAGCGTTACGCGCGGGTGTATTAGCTCCGCTTTTTTCAATTTTCCAATGTGTTCCACCAAATTGATTTGAACAATATTTTCAGTACTAAAAGAAAAAACAATAATCTTTCGAATAAAGCTAATTAGAAGGTGGTCCAACTAAACGCACTACCGGAAAACATCAATTGAAAAATTATTTTATCTTTTTCAGCTAATAATAATTTTTTATTTGGCATCGATTGTTCTACATAATGTGGCCTAAGCCAATATGAATAGAACCACGTAAATTTTTTTTCGATATCTTTTATGGTTACGTCTAAAAGTGAGTTTGAAAAAAGGGGCCACTTTCACATATTTTCAATGATATCTCGGCCATAAGATGAGATAGAAAGTTGAAAATTGGTATATCGGTTTTTATCATTTAGACCTATAAAATGGCGTATAAATTATTTAAATACCAGGGTGGGGCCGATTCTATATGGCAATGCGCCCATACCCTTTCTTTAGATTCGTTTACTATAAGTGCAATAAATGT